TATTCAACAGTCATCGTGTCCTTGGGTAAGACGCGTCACCCACACTGCCTAGTATGAATGTGGAGTGTGTGTGTGTGTTGGTGGTGGTGATCGGAGATTGGCAGCCTCTCTTCCATCTGTCTACCCCAGGGCAGCTGTGACCACAATAGTAGCTTCGCACCACTGAGTGTAGAGTGAATGAATAATGCTCTGTAAAGCACAATGTGTGTCTTGAAAGGCTCTGTATAACCCCAATGAATTATTATTATTAAGTTAGAGTGCTTTATTATAACCATATGCAGGTTTAATCTTAGTCATATATACTGACTTGAGTACCTTTTTAGGCCCGATTTCCTCACAAACCTACTGTTTCAATTGAATGTAGGTCGCCTTCGTCTCACTGTTGATTTATGATGTGGAGGCATTAAATAGAGCTGCCTTCCTAAAGCTGTAGGTGCTTTCAGACACCTGATAGTCATTACCCCTGACACCGGTGTAATCTAACCATGACATACGCAGTGCTTTTGTCCAACATTTGTTCACACATTTCTAAAAATAAATCTACATAGACATCGGCAGGGGACAAGGCAGTGACAGAAGCACAGACAATGTAAAAGTGGCAGTTGAGACGATTGACAAGACTATTGGGTGTCATCATTGGGTGTCACTGTTGTGTGTTTATGGGTGCTTGTGGTTTTGACCTGTGTCTGGCGTCAGGCGATCCAGCTGGTGTGGAGATGTTGATAGACCGAGGCTGCTCTGCTCCTCTTGTTTACCCTATCCACAGTTTCACTATTCGTCTAAAGCTATTATTAAACAGCCAGAGTTAATGAGTGCAGTAATGTGAGGATAACGACAAGTCTGATATACAGAGAGTCACTGTGGTGTTAAGCCAAAGGGCTGGGCCTCCATAGCAGCAGTGCAGGTCTGGCCCATGTATTGTATGTATAGAGCACATATGTGAGGTGCCTGTGATGATGTACAGTCCTTCGGTAATACATCTCTGCTCCGGTGAACTCTTTAAACCCAGAAAAATAAAGATGTCTAACAGAGAGACAGGAGACAAGCTTGCTCAAATCCATACCCTACAGTCCATGTTCAGTTTGCAGTGAAGAGTTAAAAGGTGCACTATGTAACATTTCTGGTTTCATTACCTGTTTGTCTCTCTGCCTGACCAGCCAGTCCCTTCTACATGCTGTTCGAATCCAGAAGCGACAGGAACTGTACAACAGAGGGTGAAAATCCTCAGTCCAAACTTGGGTCAATCCAGCCACAGCTGTTAATTTGTAGCACATGTCCCTCAAATGCAGAACACATCTCCTCTCCAAAATTCTTGTACTATTAAGCAACACAATAAATAACTTCTTTTACCTGAGATAAGTAATAGTTTGGTGCTTCGATTGGTGATTCTGCAAAAATCCACGCTGTTTATGTTGTTGTCATGTGTCTCTCTCATTGGTCAATCACGCCCTCTGAAAACATACAAAATACAATCTGGGCTTGGCTTTCCACTGATCTGACTGTAACTTGACTTAGTGGTGTCATTTGGTTACATCTCCATGGAGACAAGCAGGTGGCAAATCCTCAACCTGAAAAATGACATAGTGCACCTTTAATATAGTCGCCCTACTACACTGGTGCACATGTACACAAAGGATACAGTCATGATGAAATGTGCTGATGAGGAAAGTCTGTGAATATGACACAGCGCAGTGATTGTCACATGTAATCATTTCAAAGTGTGGAGATGTTAGCCATGGCGACGAACTGCTATAGTAGATATAATGTGTACTAAATAGAATTACTGTATATGCAGTAAACCTATTAGTTAAACAGACAGCGCGTTGGAAAGGATTTTTGTGCTCAAATATAGTATTCAGTAAGTATGGTCTGTCAACAAGTAAATAATAAAATTGGTACAAGTCAAGTTAAAGGTGCATTACATAACATTTCTGCTGGAGAGTCTGCCACCTGCTAGTCTCCTTGGGGATATTGTTGCTTTGCTTGAAATGTTCCACAGTATAACATTAAAACAGGGGTCTCCAACCTGTAGCTCAGGAGCTACTGGTAGCTCGCCACTCTCTTCCTAGTAGCTCGCCAAGGTATTTCTGAATAACACATATTGTCCTGAATAAGTAAAATTTGATGAATTAAATGCCTATTACCATTGTATCAATCTGATGCCTAAATTTGTGCACTAATAAATGAATAATGGTTTATGTTTTATAGGTATCTAAGTGTATGTCATTTAAGGCTCACATGGGTCTTAAATATACATCATTTCTTGCGATGGCTAAAAATAGTAGCTCTCTGGCATTTTTGTTTTGTAAAAGTTGCTAACCGGAGGAAAAAGGTTGGAGATGCCTGCATTAAAAAAATCTACCTCCATGGAGACATCAACGGGCCAAATTACAGTAAGAATGTATGCAGTTTTGAGCTATAAAAATAACTGAATAAATGCAAAAGAGATTAGTTTAATATGATACTGTAGAATATTTCAGGCAAATCACTAAAACCTCCATGGAGACGAGCAAAGGACAAAACCTACACCAAAAAGTCACATACATAGGCAGGTCACGATAAGAAATTTTGAAGTATGATACTACTGAAGTGAATACAGATGATATATGATAATATTGAAACTAATTTTATCACTGACACAAAAAGAATAGCAGATTTAAACCACAAAAAACATTCTAAATCTACAATATTGTTATAAAAACATGAGCTTCAATAGATAATTAGGAGAATGAAACACTATAGTACTTTGCCATCTGTAATGATTCATAGAGGTTATTTATTCAACCTTTCACAGCTTAAATCTTATTATTGCTCCAAAAAAGTCCCAAAAGTACCTACGCTAAATATTGATGCCAAAAAATATTGTTCCAGCTTTCATATATTGGGTCAATAAAGTAATTATCATGACAGGTCTACACATACACGCACCTTTAAATTCAGTAAAATCCGGCAAGCCAAAGGATAAGATATACGAGATGTTACAAGCTTCTAAAATGCAATACTTTCCACTTAAGGGACATGGAAGAAGCCTCTTTAAGCTTCAGCCAGGGACATGCTTTTGGACACAGTCTGAAAAGTTTGGTGTGGGAATGCTCAAAGATGTTCCAGGTAGATATAAAACATAAGTCTGAGACACATTTGGCTTTTCTCTTTTGTCCTTAAACGACTTCTGATATGAAATATGTTGTAATTAAGCACAAATGTATCAGACCTGCCCAAGATAAACTTCCCGGTGTCATCTTAACCAGATATGTCACAAACAACAAATCTGTAATTAGATAAACTCATGTTCATTTTTATATCTACAGACTTTTATAACGTATTTGGAAATGTAGTTTAATAATTCTATAACTGGGTCACTGCATTGATGCTACAGTGTAAAATATATTTAGCTTAGTCCTATATTAATTGAAATTGAGTCTTGTGAGCTTTAAGACATGTTATAATGTTGTTACCTCATCAAAAACATACCTGGAGTTGTGTTTTGTTTCATTCATACATTTTTGAGTAATTAATATTAGTCTGTCTCCATCCCCAAAGCTCAAAATGCTCTGTTCCACTTTGTGATGTCATGTGGTGGTAGTTTTAAAGTTAACAGCTCCTTTTACCTTTAGTTCATTAGACATTGGCAATTCCAGGTTATCCAAATGATTCTAGTGAAGGTGTATGGAGTCCAAAAACACAGTGGAGCACTTCCTGGATTACCACGTGACATCACAAAGTGGAAGTGTTTTCTGTTTGAGAGATGAACTCACAGTAAATATGCAGAGTTTAAGTGTTAAACATATGTGAAAGAAACAAAACACAACTCAAAATTTTTTATTTTTTTTCTCATGAGGAAACATCATAATATCTTAGATCAGAAAATAGTGTCATGTGTCCTTTAAAGAAGTCAAAGTATCAATAAGAACCTTCAAATCCTTAAAGGGACAGTCCAGAATTTTGGACATTAGCTCACTAGGAAATGAGGTCCTGAGTGTTGGAGACGTGTGGAGACACTTTAAAAAAAAAAAAAATTCCATCCAGTCCTTGTATTTGCTGAGGTCGCTGGTGCTAGACTAGCGCATGTCAATGGCCATAGTTATCCTGCCACTAAAAAACAGTCTTACCCACTTCACAAAACACCTGAAGCAAATCTATTATCACGCCAGACTGACGATGAAAACGTCTGTGTCGAATAATTCTAGAAGTAAAACCAACCTTGCATTTGAAGGATTTATGTCTGAGCAGCAGCAGCGAGTTTCCTGATAGAAAGGTTGGCAGTGGCGGACTGATCTCGCCAAGCACAGAGGTCTCCAACCTTTTTCCTCTGCTGGGCTACCTTTAGAAAATGAAAATGCCAGAGAGCTACTCATTTTAGCAGTCACAGGAAATTGAGAAAGTAGAAGAGCTATGGCAAGCTTTAGACTGTACAGTTAAGATGCAATTTATTAGTGCACAAGTTAGGCATCAAAATTACACAGTTACAGTGAAAAATAATCAGATTTTAGTTATTAAGCGCAATACACATAATTCTGAAATCCTTTAGCAAGCTACTTGGAAGGAAGTGGAGAACTACTGGTTAGAGACCCCTGACCTAGCACCTATCTTACCGGCAAAGTAAAATTCCACTGCTGCTGAGAAAATAGTCCCTCAACATGCGACGATTCATGCGATGCAAGGTTAGTTTTATTTCAAACATTATTCTGTCGATACAGAGTTTCACATCGATAGTCTGGTGTAATTATAGATTTGCTTTGGGTGTTTTGTGGAGTGGGTAAGACTGTTTTTAGTGGCAGGATAACTATGGCCATTGACATGCACTAGTCTAGCACCAACGACCTCTGCAAATACAAGGACTAGATGGAATATTTTAAAAAGTGTCTCCACACGTCTCCAACACTCTGGCTCTCTAGGAAATGAGGTCCTATGTCCAAAATTCCAGACTGTTCCAGAATAAAAATCGAGTGCCTGTTTAAAAAGCAAACACAGGAGACCGTATTTAAACAGGGCTACGTACATTCATGCCATTGGACAGTCTTTAATAAGAAAAGAAACCTCCATACAAAAGTATATTTACATGGTCAACTGTTGGCATCAGTTTATGGAAATGATGCAACCGCAGCAGAGATGTGAGAGGCGGACTGGTCTATCCCTGGTCCATCGCTGTCATGGCAACTGATGCTACACAGCCGTCAGCATCGAGAGCGCCCCCTGGAGTTTACATTAGCAGTCTGAAACATTGTGCGATATGAATCTTCTTTAAAACTCAAGCTCATGGTTATTCTGAAATATAAATAATGCATAAATCCACCAGTGCAAGAAAGCATTTGTTACACGGAAGTTACTGATGTGGGCTTCAAGACAACACAGCCTGAGTGACAGTTCAACAGAAGAGAATTACAACATTTAATTGGTCTAATACAATGATAATCAACATTGAGGTTTACAACGCTGGACTACCTTAAAATTTAAAACAATAAAACAACATGGAGATGAATCATACATTGCACAGTAGCCCTGCCGTGTGCTCATATAATCCTCGCCTTACCACCTTAAGAACAAAGTGTATGGAGGAAAAAAGGTGTGTCACAGTAAAGGGGCTCTCTGATTGGCTGAATCGACCACCTCGCTCTACGGCAGCAACCTGGAAGTCGAGGTCATTGGTGGGATTCATCAAAGCCCTACTGTAATGAGAAGGTCCTGCATGCTAGAACTAGGCCTGTCACATTAATCACTACATTGACTTATTGTTCAATTAATATTAAGTAGAACAGTCATTTTTTTGGAGGGGGGCAGTATTTCTCTAGTACGTTTTACAGTATTTGCAATAGAAGGAAACGTTTTGTTATTTTTATATACTAAAATTTGAGCTGTAGAGGGTTGACGAACTTCTATGACTCATTATAGATACAAATTAGAGTTCACCTCGCTCCCCCTGGACACTGCTTTTTATCATTTGCGGCTTTTATCGAAAGTCAAACCTCATACACGCTATTATTTCATCATGCCTGGACTACTGTAACGCATTTTATTACGCTATCTCACAAAACACACTTTACAAAACTCTGCAGCACGATTTCTAATAGGAACCAAAAGGAAAGAGCACATTATCCCAGTCCTTGCGTCTTTGCACTGGTTTCCTGTTAATTTTAGAATTGATTTTGAGATTTTATTGTTTGTTTTTTTAAAGCTTTGAAGGAACTGGCCCCACAGTATGTCTCAGACCTCGTCCAAATTTACACCCCCGCATGCGCTCTGAGGTCCGAGGTCCAGCTCCAGCTCATGATGCCTAAGACCAGACTTAAAACCAGAGGGGTCAGGGTCTTCTCTGTGGTCGGCCCTAAGCTCTGGAACGATCTGCCCTTTCATGTCTGAACAACCCCCACAGTGGAGTGTTTTAAATCTCATCTTAAGACCCACTTTTACTCTCTGCCTTTTAACACCGCATGAGTTGTAAGATGATCTGTGTCTTTTATTTATTTTTAATGTATTTTATTGGCTTTATTTATTTATTGCTATTCTATCATTTTTGCTCTTATTTTATTTTACTGGTTTTATTATTTTAAGACTAGTATGATTAAATCGGAGCAATAATTTTATCATTTTATTATCATATTATTGTTATTATTATTATTATTATGCATTTGTGCAGCACTTTGGAAACTGTTTGTGAAATGTGCTACAGAAATAAAGTGGATTTGCTGACCCTATATGACCAGTCCTTCTGTTAAACTGCACTGAGACCTTAGACTGATATGCGCAGAAGAAATGTTGCTGAAGCAAAACTTGAATTTCCCTCGGGATCAATAAATTATCTCTCTTTGTTATTCCTAAAGAGTTTGTTTATTTATTTAATGCAATTTGTACATTTCGAACAGTTGCTTTTGATAACCCCACTTTAGTGTTATTGCGTCAACAGCAAACATTAGTTTTAATATTATTGTTTATCGATTATATATTCTTGAGTAATATATCGTACTTCCAAAAGTTTTATCGTGACAGGCCTAGTAAACACACACACACACATCACGTCAAGTTCAGTCACTCTTTCACACCATGAGTGAAACAGCACAGCTCAAGTACTGGGACAGCAGGCATGGGCAAGAGTGGGCACATTAAACTGATATCTCCTCACGTACAGCTACACTGACTCAGTAGGGCTGCAGCTCACCATTGTTTTAATAGTCAATTAGCCAAAGATTACTATTTTTTTATTAGCTGACTAGTTAAATTATTATTTCTTTTGTACAATGAAATTGATTTTTAGCCAAATGGTTGAAAGGCTGAAATGTGGTGACTGAACGTTTCCAGATACAAGTAATGACAAATTTCATTAATAGTGAAAATAAGAAATAGTTTTGTTCCTTTCTGACATTGTGACTTGGAGATGCACTGTGTAACTTTTCTGGTACAGGGCCCACCACCTGCTTTTTGTCATGGGGAAGTGATTGTTTTGCCTGGAATGTTCCACAGTACAGTAATAAACTTGACTATTTCGCATTTATTCCATTACAGATGCTTTTTTATTGATTAAAAAGCCATTCTTCTTACAGTACACTGAAAAACCTGACTCCATAGAGCTGACCTGTATCTGTATCTTGCACTCTTGGTCTTGGTCTCTGAGGAAGACCGCTAGTGAGCAGTCGAAACTGTCAGGTATCTTCATAGGGATAGATAAGTTTAAAGTTTTGCTGTGGAACATTGCAGGCAAAACAATAACAGCTCCATGGAGACAAGTAGTTGGCGGACCCTCCACAAGAAAAGTTCCACCTTTAATAGTATAGTAAAAGGTCGTTTGGCGTGTCTAAGAGTCTGTTAAGTCCAGCCAACAATTACGAAGATGAAAATACATTTATTTGAATAGTCAAAGATTATTCCGTGCAGCCCTATGATTCAGAGAGTTTAAGATTCTGGAAAACAGGTTTGAGAACCTGAATTACATTGACTGAAGTTTGGTACTGCATTGAAGGTTTGCATACAAAGTGCTACTCTTTTATTGGAACTTCACTGTTAAGCTAGACTACCATAGATAAAAAATTAATCTCTGGCAACAATCTTTAAAATTCATAATTCATAATTCACATCAGCTTACTGTCCCAATACTTGCACTTACATTTATTAAAAGATTACAATGGAAATGTTAATAGTAAGTGCAAATTGGTCGAATAAGTTCCAGAAGAGCTCCTATGTATTCTGCCCACTGTCCACACTGCCATATGGTCTCAGCTTCACTTATCAGAGTTTTTCCGTGGTCTCCTAAAGCTGGACATGTTCTCATTGAGAGCATAGATACGCCTCGAGAACTCCTCAAAACCGGCTACATCCAGCTCCCCTAACACCTGATCATCGCACTCCACGGCGACGGCGTGGTCGACGGGGATACTGCTGTACTCTTCCTCCAGCTGGGCCTGCTCCTCCAGTCCCAAAGCCAACCCTGTGGCCTCTGTGCCTATGATCTCCTCCGCTTGTTCCACTGAGCAATGCAGCTCTGGTATGGGACCCAGCGTAGCCTGTCCTACTACAAGTGAACCGTTCATGGTCCCTGAATTCTGAGTAGACGAGCTTGCTTTGTCCTCTACTACATCCACAGATTCAGAGGAGGTTGGTTTGGTTGAGATGCTAGGTGGGCGTGTCTCCTCTTCTTCAATCTCTTTTTCAACACCTTTCCCCTCCTCTTCTGGTATCTCCTGTGATTCCTCTATCTTAGCTTCTTCCTTAGACTCCATTTCTCCCTCCTGGTTACCCTGCGTGGGCTTGCCAAGGTTTAGGGAGGCCATGCTGTCATCAAGGGAGGGGTGGTGCTTGGGAGAGGGCGATGGAGGTGCCGGAGCAGGTGGGTGTGGTTGAGGTGGTTCTATGCCCATGGCAGTGTTGTAGCTGGGAGGGGGGGTGGGTTTGGCCTTCTGCTGGTCAGCTTCAGAAGTGCTGCGCTTTCTGTGGCTGCGGTCGGGAGAGCTGGTGTGGCTGGGGAACCCCAACTCTGAGCCCAGACCAATACTGAGGCTGGACTTTGGGACGGACATGGAACTGGAGACATGTCTGTCACTGTAAAGGACAAGAAAGAACAAGTATAAGGAGAAATATTAAGCAACAAACTTAAATTATTAGTAGTATTCTCTAATTCAGTGGTTCTCAAACTGAGGTACCACTGGTTGTACACAGGCTCTTTCAGGTGGTTCCTCTACAGTTCAAATATTTGCTGAATTTAAGAGTCAAATTAATCACAATGTCCTCCTTTAAGTTACGCCTTATTTATAACTGGATTGAGAAAAAAAAAAAAAAGCTTGATCTTGACACCTCCACCGCCCTTAAAGCACAGTTTCTTTTCCCCGATGGAAAGAAGAGACAGCTGCAACTCTTTGTAAATCACTGCACCTGACAACATCCACAAAATATTTGTGCTGCCTTTGAGACTCCGCTCACTGACTGCTGAGTGCAACAGCGCAGCAGGCGTCTGCCCAACTATGTCAGACATTTTTGCCCATAACAGATAACAGACTTGCAATACAGGACCCCGCTCCACCCCATTTCGAGTCATAAATTCATTTAAATGGGGGCCTCACCGCCTCATCCAATAGCCAAAACCATGTGTAATTCAGCACTCTGCCATCTCAGCAGCAGAGGCACTGTTCCTCTGAGGTCAAAGGTTAAGAAGGACCTCCCTGTACCCTCTGGGGCTCTCCATGTCAGTTAGCACCTGAAGACAAATCTCCACTTGATGAGTTAAGCGTGCAGGATAGCAGACGTCTGAGTACATTTTCCCTTGGATGGTCTTACATAAGCTGTACAAACTACTTCAACACATTAGTCAAAGTCATAGACAGTTTAAATTTATGACAGCAAATCAGGTTTGAGAACTTTTAGAATAGTGTCCTGCTTATAACTCAACGCAAAGGGCATTAAAGTAAATAAGAACCATACATGATTGAGGTACAGTATATTGTTCTAATGGTAACAACTTAAAAACAAATACAAGACCTTGTGTCCAAAGTATACATAGTATAATATACACCGATAGGGGATTCCAGTTGTAAACAGTGTGTGGTCACTTAAGGTCAAGGTTAACAAAACAAGTGAAACCACCTGATTATGAGCACGTGTCCTTTTACCAGAGCCTTTATTAGCTCAAGTGAATGTGAAGAATGACATTAGCTAACTCCACAGTGAAGAGCACACGAGCCATTACACATAATGAACATGAGGAAAGGTTTCTCCTGAAGGAACCTTTGGGATAAAGTTTCTCGAATAGACTGCTCATTCTGTTTGGGTTTTATCCTCATAAACGGTTATTTTAAATGTAGGTAAAAAAGTTCACTCACTCCACAAAATCATCCTGCAACGATACACATCGATACAGCGCATAGATCACTTATGTCTTAGACTCAAATCTAAGTTCCAGGGTAGATACAATATTCATTATGCTTCATGGTCAATCAATCTAAAACTAAAACTGTAAACTGTAAAGACATGGTTTTAAACGTGCACCAACATATATCCATTATGTTAATATGCAATAAGTACGACTAGTGCTTCTTGGTGGAACTAATACAAATATGTGTGGCGCTGTTTTAACTGTGAGGGGCTTTTGGAGCACATGGCTCTGGTTTGAGTGGTACTGCAGCCCCACATACCTCAGTGATGTGAAAAAGGCCTGTGCAGTGAGGTTACCTCCATTTACCCACGTATGTCTTTAGGTTTCACTGGGCCCCAGTCTCCGGTGTGCTCCTGACAGCAGCTCCTCTGCACACTGTAAAAACTACTGGGAGACCGCTGCCTAAATCATCAAGCAGAGAGGCTGACATCCTGCAGCAGAAATAGCCCTTACTCCTCCACAGCCTTTCAATGCTATCTCCTTCCACCACTGATGTCAAAGATGGCATATTTCAGGCACACTTAGGAATTCAGAGGGCCAAACCTTTTCTCCATTCATTCACACACAAACCTACAGCACGCTTCAGCTCCAACCCAAATGTTATGAAGAAGAGGCACCACTTGAAGGCCAAAACTAATATGAACAGATAAGAGCTGGACGTTTGATGTGGGCCGGGACAATCCCTGTGGAACTACTTAGGCTAATATGTAAAAAAAAAAAGTCAACATGCCCAACAGCCGAAAAAGAGTGATGTCAATTTTATTTCCGAGTGTGGACTTTGAAGATGCAGCATCACCAGAAGGACGGGAGGGATTGTCACTTAAATTAGGCAATGCTTTTTTCTTTAGAAATGCCCTCTGTAAAACAACAACACTCAAATTAACAGCACTATGAGATAAAACTGTTGTAGATCTAATACTTTAAATCTACAAGCAGCAGGACTATAGTCAGTGAACCTCATCAGATTCTTGAGTGAATGTAGAGACCATTTGTTGAATGCTTTTACATTCATCTTAAGACTGAACTGTCTATAGGGATTTGGTTTCTAGTACCACCTCTGGCTCCTGGTCACTAATACAGATACCATATAATGAAAGCGCTTTTTCTTCTGTCATAGTCCTATGCATCACGTAAATTTAAACAGAGCACAGTTAAAGCTGATTTATTATGCAACTGAGTTTTTTGAGCCTTCAAGCATATTAATGCTGTTTCCCCTCACCATTTACTCACCCCAAGTTCTATCTGGAGACATTCGTGCATGTTTAATTGCTTATTTTCAAGACAAAATATTGCAGATAAATCCCCATTTTTACCGCCACCGGCATACATCCACTGCTCTGTAGCTTCTTAATCGATTATACGCATAGAGTTTGGCATGTGTGTCGTGTAGTCATTTAGGTACAAATCAAAAAAATATGTTACTTGCTACTGTGGAGTGCAGCTATCCATGGGAGTTGCCGACTTCTTGTTGTGATAACACAGAAGTCGGACTTGTTCCTTTTATTAGGTAATTTTAGATGAATATTGTGATTTAAAAAGTGCAAAATATAACATAATGATCCATGGGTGTCATAGATTATATCTATGTAGCAGACACAAGCACAATAAGTCTTCTTTAAGTAAAATCATTTTCTTCTCTGGATCACTGTCATAGTTATAAATGTGTGCCTCTGTGTGGGTCTAGGTGGGTGAGAAAAGGCTTTCACAGTCTGATGCAGACAGACTGTGTTCTGTATGGAAGCAGGGGGTGTCATTGATTATCTAAGGGATGATTATGTCCATCTGGCATACTGCAATTTTATACATCATATATTTTTACAGGGAGAAGGTCAGTCCCAATACTGGAAAGCTAGAGCTGACTCCATATTCTCAACCATAAGTTAACCAACTTACATACACAATATATGTATGTTTGTGATTTGTTTCATTCATTCATTAGGTTAAGTTTACTTTTAAAATTTAGTTAAGTTTAGTTTTTAAAATGAGTCACATAAAAAGGAGAAACTATACAAATACCATGAATTTACATATTTATTTTGGCACTTTTCAGCGCTCTGTAGACCATCATTTTTGAATACACACACACAGACACATGCACACACGCACCCCCATACGCATACACACACATATACACATGGCTTAAGGGCTCGCAGGTCGTACTTTGATCTCCTCCATCTTTTGCTCTTCCACTCCTCATTATGGGATAGTCTGTGCGGAGAGCCGATTTGTGAGGCTGAGCTTTTCAAGGTTTTTCCTTTCAAAACAAAAGATTATTCAATTAATGTGGGAAATAAACATTTTCCCCTTTGCTAACTCTGAACAAGACGAGGAGATCAAAGCGAGAGCTGCACAAGGGTCAGTCACAAGGCATGGACACACAGATGGTCCAGACACATCTCTGTAGTAATGGTCAGTAACAATGAAGGTCAAATATTATTAGCCTCTAGTGTTGTCACAATACTAACATTTCAAACTCGATTTTGATACTAAGGAATAGACTTGATACTCAGTACTGATTCTGATACCCTGATGATGATTAGAAAAACACTCTTTATTTAGGTTTCGACAACAGAATGTAATTTACAACATTAAATTGTAGTACTTTCATTTATATTCTGGTCTGGTCTTATATTTACATAATTCCTCAGTAGTATTTGTGCTCTTATACTTGTTCTGATCATTCTAAAGCTATTCAGGAAAGGTTCATTTCGATTCTGTGAATGTGACTTTTTTAGTATTAATACTTTCTCAAATGAGTATGAGTAATAGATACAGATACAGCAGGATCTTGAGACTAACACGGATGTAATGATATCGAAATCTCTCAATACGATATTTTCACGATATGCATCTCACAGTACAATATTTATTGGAATATTTTTGTGGAGGCTAACAGAATTGTGAATATGCTACTTTTTCCTTTTAAAAAGATTGAAAAGCCTTTGGTACTGAAGATTTTAAAGTGCTTTGTTATGCAGAGTTCTTTGTTCATATAGTCTGCACTGAAAAACCAAAGGCTCATGATCTATGTAGTTCCCTCTGTTTTTTTAGCATTAACAATGAATTTAAGCAAAAAGACTTGCATTTGGACATATTGTGATGGCTCATAATATTATTGAGACTTTTGAAGATATGATATCATGATATTTCTGTTATTGTTACATCACTAAAAATGGGACATTAAACTCAATTTGGCCCAAAAAATGACATCTATCCTGTTTTATTGGTACTTTATTCAGTAAAGGACGGTTTAACTTCTCAACAGCGCATGTACACAATCTGTCTCTCACCATCGGACCATCAGGCCGTGCTCCAGGAAGGTCTTCAGGTTGGGCAGAGTCTGTTGAAGGTCTGGTGTGGTGAGTCCATGTTGATATCTCAGCTGCAACAGACGAGAGAGACACAGTTTTATTAACCCACCGCACCGCTCTGCGTGTGACCGTGTGGTGGAAGACATCTCCAAGTTTGGATGTCGTCTGAGAAGGAGAAATACCACCAACGTAACCGGCCTGAGGTCTGAATTCTTTCCCCATGATCTATTTTCACACTCCCTATTGGACAATTACTCTTTCAGACACATCCTACCCTGATAACAGCCTCATATGTTAAGAGCGTGGAAAGACAAGGTATGAGATGCTATAGTGGCTAGACAAAGCTAAACACACCAGGATGTAACAGGACTAAAAAACTGTTAGAAACCCTGTAACATTTGCCCCTCCTTGCTGAACCCACTTCTAAATTTGGCATCCATGTTCCTTCCCTCTCCCACAGTGCTCTAATTCATGATGATAGAATCAAATCCACTGGAAAAAATCCACACAGCCACCTTTAAACTCCGGGACAGATGCCAGGAATAGCTTCAGATTAGCACTGTCACATAGGCCTGGAGAGTTTGCTTAAAGTGCATGACAAGTTTTCATATTTATTTTTTTTTTAATTTTCCTTTGTTTGGATGGATTCTAGCACCTGTGGTAAATATTTATCATAGTTTTACACCAGTTAAGTGGCAATTTGTGAAGAAATATTGAAAACACTGAGTTCTTAAGAGGAATCCTTCTATCTATGTCATCCAAAATACAGGTACAATAAAAAAAATAAAAAAATTAGTCTTATATAGCACTTTTCCAGATGCTCAAAGTCGCTTTACAATTTGGTGCATTATTCATTCACTCCACACTCGGTGGTGGTAAACTACTATTATAGCCACAGCTGTCCCGGGGCAAACTGACGGAAGCGAGGCTGCCAAACTGCACCACAGGCCCTTCCGACCACCAACATCACTCATGCACACACAACATTCATACTAGGCAATGTGGGTGAAGTGTCTTGCAATCCCAACTAAGGACACAACAACAGTTTTTACCACTGGCGCCCACTCACTGCAGCACCTGATTTTCCCAGCGGTCTCCCATCCAAGTCCTAACCAGACCTGGCCCTGCTTAGCTCCTGAGGTCTGACGAGATCAGGCTTTGACAAGGAGGTCTGGCATAAATGAACGTTTTTGGAATAGTGAAAACTGGGTAAAATCTTTAGCAAAATCCAGCTGAGTGAACAGCAGAGAAGCGTCACCCTACACATCCAGCGTTTATCTGCAGGCAGCACCCGTTCACATCTGGTTTATCTCCACGAAGCCCTGGCAACACCTCGTACTACAAATACTCTGGGAGAAGAGATGAGGCGGACATGACCCCAGCCTATCAGTCACCTGCACTCACACCATTATAAAGACATAATGGATCGTTGGCATGTTCATAAAAAGTATTAGAGACTTACACATGTTTAAACATAAAGGTCAAAGGTCAGGCAGCCATTTTGTCTTCTTGTAGGTTTGTATAACAGTTAAGGAGAGAGACAGATTAGACGCGGCGTATGATCCAAGACTACGATGTTTCTTTGCCAATGTTCACAGCAGTGTAAGTATGACTGTGGACGTGAGGATTTATTACATTTTAAAAACAAGCTCCTGCATTGGCCTTGTGTAGTACTATTGCTCTGTTAACGTTTTCCAAAATTTGTTCTGAAATGCAAACACTGAAAAGTAGTTACAAAAACACAAATTTTATTTGACACGAATGTGAAAATCTGCAACAGGAGTCGATTTTGGTATTAAAAGGGCCCATATTACACTATTTTCTGGTCTGTTAAAATGTTTTTTTTCCATCACAAACATAACTGGAGTTGTGTTTTGTTTTATTTCCACAGTGAAAACACACAAATCATGCATATTTAGGCTGACTTCTCTCAAACAGAAGACACTCTGTTCCACCTTGTGATGTCATGCGGTAAAACAGGAAGTGCTCCACTGTTCTTTAATTCTACACACCTTCACTAGAATCATTTGGATGATTTCAGCCCTGGAATTGCGAATCTTTACTGAACAAAAGGTAAAATGTGGCTGGTAACCTGAAAACTACCACTTCATGACATCACAAGGTGGAACAGAGCATTTTGAGCTGTGGAGATGCAGACAGAGTAATAAAAAGGGTTACTCAAACATGTGTGTATGAAACAAAACACAACTCCAGGTCTGTTTTTGAGCGGTAACAGCATTCTAACTCGGCTTAAAGCTCACAGGAGTAAATTTTGTTCAATATAGGACCTTTAAAAATTGTTTATCATTTGTATAAAGCTAGTCTCAACCTCAACAGCAATCACCTATTTTACAAATGTGGTAACATAACTTTTAGGGGTTTCCACTTTTAATAAAATGAATTCAATGGGTGACTCTCTAAATTAGGGGCCACCTTCTTAACAGTAGACCAGTGACATGAGTTGTAGAGCTGTGAAATGAATAATAATTTAATAAAATCAAGATTCAGTCAGCTCTATTCATCAATAACATGATTAGCTCTTTTAAATTGAGAGCTCTACGGCCAGTCGTGTCTGTAAAACCCAGACCTACATCTTGAGTAAAACTGCTTTCCAAGACTATTTTTAGTGTATAAGAGGAAGGCTTTAACACAAGAGAGATGCCTCAGCCAGTGAAGGGAGCTAAACTTGTGTGAACATAGAAATTCATTCAGGTCTGACAGAAAACCTCAGGCTCTGACCAGATGACGGTGATGTGCTGTCCGCAGAGCTGGTCTAACGGAACTGGCTTTGACTCCACAGGCCAAGATCAATATCAGCAGCACCCATGGCATACATGAGAGCGACTCTAAGAAAAGAAAGGCTCTACCTCATGGAAATCAGGCTTAAATTAGGACTGCACCATGTGAAAAAGAGATGCAATATTCAATAACCATGCTAAGTATTGCATTAACGATATTATTGCAATATTTTACAGTTCAGTTAAGTTCCTTCTCAAGCCCACTTGTTCAGACAAACCTATTCCGCATCCCCTTTGCAAATGTAACTTTATTTTTTACATTTTAACATGATGTATTTTACTATATTTTACTGTTATTTTCTATACTGCTTTCTTATATTTTGTATTTTGAAATGTTGTACAATTATCCCGAGTGTCTTGAAAGTCTAAACCAAGACCAACTCCAAAATTATTAATTAAATCTGTCTTTTTATTGATTTTACTTTAAAAATAATAATAATAATAATGAAATTAAAATAAAATTGAGAGCTTTGTGTTGCTATATATTCATTTTGTTATGACACTAATTATTGTGTCAGAAAAATTGTAATGTTGATATTTTTGCAGCATATTGTGAAGTTCTAACATACATGACAAATGAGTAGATGAGTAGAATTATATGTACACAATGTATGCTTTCTTTGATACGCAGATAAATAATAAAATAACAAGATTGCAGGGCTTTTTCTGAGCATTTTCTCACCCTGAGGTCTGAAGTGTGTGGAATAATAAAAAATGTAGGTGTAAGTCAAATTATCCTCAGTCTGTGTGTCTGAGGGCTGGAGTATGTGTGAGACAAAGAAAGAATTCACATGCTTTTGCACATGCTTTTACACATATCTTACCAAGTGTGGAGTAGCTCATAGAAACTCAGTAAGGTGAAGACAGGCCCTGATGGCTGAGGTCATTCACTGGCTTAGAGCACACTTCTTTATTAATGAAGAATGCGTTTGAGAAAGATGCTCTGGGGTAGAAGTCTGGAAAAATGGCTGAAAATTATTTGGTTGTTTGTTGGGATTGAAATGGATGTTTAGATCAAAAATGACTCATTTATAGAAAGGTAGTAATTTTTTACATGTGTTAAAGCAACATCATAACATTTTCTGAAGGTAGCATGTGACCTGCATGATTCCATGGAAACAAAGTTAAAACGTAGTATGGAACATTTTCCATGGAGATAGATATATTTTTATGACATAAAGTAAAATATTATAGCCAAAAGGAACAACACCTCCATGGTTTTTCCAATGTTTTTCAAATGTTTTCAGTGTGATAAAAACATGATTTTATTTTTGTCTAAAAGGTAACATACACAAACATTCACACAAACAGTGGCTCCCTCTTTTCTGCATCACTTGAGGAAAACCAAAAACTAAACCACAACACTACCCACGCCAGTGCATCTTTCCCACAATGAGGGAAAAATTTAGCTCCATAAAATGCTTCTTTATAAAAGAAAAATGGTTAAAAATCACAATTCTGACACTGCAATGTTACTTGTGAGAAAGGATCATTTTTTATTTGTATTTCACATTTTTGTCACCTGCCCAACACTGCACGTTCCCATGTTCTGTGTAATTGTAGTACTCGTGTTGTTATTTTTGTGGTAAATCAAGTTGAATACTGCTAAAACCGCTTGGGAGAGACAACATCTGACCCAAAGTCCAGCGGCTAGACTATCAATATTCATAACCTGGTCTGGCCCTCCCTGATGGAAGCCGCATTCACTTGCACTATGTGAATATAGTATGTGTTACTCATGGCCTCAGTCCTGGGAAGCCATATATTCTTGGCCGCCGCCTGTCAAAATGTTCAAACATGAATTCACCCCTTTCTTCTCAGCTTGTTTAAACCAAATAGAAAAATATTAGTGACCCCACAGTGTCTTGTGGAGGAAAAATAGAACAGGAACGCTATGAGGGGGAAAACGTGCAAGGAAACTTAACGAGTGTGATTTCCAAAAGTGGGCGCCATGAAAGTGTTGGATGTCAGCTGAGACAAACAGTGCAGAGGGGAAGATTTAGATTCTGGTCTGTAAACCTAAACTGTTCCTGTGGAGTATGTGGCAATTCCCATGAGACAGACACGCTGCAACTAACAAACACTACGTGTTGATTATTTCTAACTTTCAGATGACATCAACATCATCATAGGCCAATATTATTTAAAGGTCCTCTATTATCCAAAATTGACTCTTGTGAACTTTAAGCCATGTTAGAAAATTGTTAGCTCATCAAAGACATGTCTAGTGTTTGATTAATAGTCTGTCTATATCTCCAAAACTCAAAATGGTC